TGTTGGAAGAGTAGAGAGGCCGTGAGGCCGGCCGGTACCTCGTTGACGTTTGCCGATCCTCTACCGGCACTTGCGCTACTGTAGACACCTCCACCAGCGCCGGCACCGCCGCCGCTGCCATCCAGCACGGAGCATAGGGCAGCTACAGGTTGTGAAAACCAATTTCCGGTCGAATTAGAAGAAGGGTTAGAAGGGGAAAAAGCGGGATTCTGTGGCGTGCTCATTGAGTTGGCAACGATGGTGTTGTTGATGCGAAACTCTGCTCTTCCAGGTATAGAGGCGGCGTGCATATCCGGTACACTCTGTCTTTCGCCTGCCATGGCAACAGCGTCTGAGTAGTGAAAGTCGGCGTTGTGATGAACGCATAAAGAGGATGAAGAAGACGACGACGACGACGAAGCGATATCTGCCGGTTTGGGTGGACAGGCCGTGGCGCCTGGGCGAGACAATGAGTTGAGCGAGGTGAGATGATCCTCGTGGTCATCGGTACCGGTGAGAAGACCCACGCGTAGTTGATGTAGCCCAGCGGCGAAAGTTGAAGTGGAGCCTATTGTCTCTGGACCACAGACTTCCGTGGGCAGAGTCAGTCCGGAAGCCGCAGCGTCGGCAAGATCATCTGGGCCTAGAGTAGAAATGGCAGACGACAGCGTTGGCGGAGGCAAACCGACAGCAGCCGATGGCGAGTCGCTGTCCGGGAGGACAGTCGACACATATTTCGGATAGACCATATTCGGGATCTCAAGGTCCGGCATTGAAGAAGAGATGGTCGTCAGACTGGGATGCCTCCGGAGTAGGTAGATTACATCATTATCCCTGCCAGGATCAATGATATGACCACAGGGTAGCTGATAAAATGAAAGAATACGAATACTGGTCTCACAACTACCAGGACTATCGGAGTTTAATGAGTTGGATTGCGAGGACCATCTGACAACCAGCACACATTTCCTGCGGTGGTGATTAAATGATGCAGTTGATTGAGCCAGTTTCTAAACTAAGCATACATCTTGAATAAAAGCTGTATTCACCCTAGGCGGCATGAGGTGATGCAGAACTCAAACGAGGTCTACACTTCAGTCGAGATGGAATGAGGATAACTATTGGAAAGCAAGACTAAGTGAAATGCAAAAGTAAATCTTATTTTACTCCTTGTGCCATCAGGGGGAAATACCACTTTTATTTGCAGACTTGGTTATTCAGGACGACAGGAGAGCAAGCAGTGATATGAAATCATTCCAATATAGTATAATTATATACAAAATTCAACCATTGTTTAACTCAGCTTAGTATGCATTCAAACAAAATGAGACTGAAAAAATATTCGTATGTAGGCAATCTATCCATTATTGCACAAACATCATTTCTATTTAAATGTAGATACAGAGACCAAGATGTTGTGACCTCTTTTAATTCAAAAAGTATGCCTAGAGAATGGTTCACTTCATTTATAAGAGAGAAATGCATTCCACTTTTCAATAAAAATGTAAGATACTATCCTCCAGAATTATACAAGCTAAATTAATTTTTTAAATGCCACAAGCTTACCTTTCATTATCTCAATCAGACCAAATTTTGGGCCCAATGTATATACGCCACATGGCCATAAATGCACCTAAGCCGCATGGAAGATTCGAATTATAAGAAAGGTAACACATTCTGTAGTTAGTGTTGAACTTACTATAGCAATCGACCAAGCTACTTATGCTTCACTTATAAGTAGGCTCGTCGTGACTACCAGTAGATAATTTATATATTTTATTTGAGGAAAATTCAACTATTAGTTCTTTATCAGCCAAATAGGATAAAAACAATGCACATTGGCTTACTGGTAGA